TGGGCTCCCATCTCCTCTACCTTCTGGGCCCTTAGTACCTCCCCCACTAGTCTCCTAAACTCACTGAAGTTGGCCCTTCTGAAGTCAAAGGCTTTAGCCTTGGTGTGAGCCCTAGACACCCTGCGTTGGATAGTGAAATCCAGCAGGTGATGATCGCTATTGCCCAGGTGGTCAAGGACCTGCAGTCCCCTCACCAGGTCATCCCCCGTGGCCAGGACCAGGTCCAGCAAGGTGTTACCCCTAGTGGGGCTGTGCACTTCCTGGATAAGGTGACGGTCTTGTAATACAGCCAGGAACCTACGCGAGCAGTCAGACCTGGCTGTCTGCTCCTCCCAGCAAATGTCTGGGTAGCTTAGGTCACCCATGACAATAACATCCCTTGACCTAACCACCTCCATAAGCTGACTGGAGAAGTCCTGGTCTAGCTCTTCCCCCTGGTTGGGTGGTCTGTAGTAGACACCCGCCATAAGGTCCCTTTCGCCACGCCCCCCCTTGTAGTTTGACCCATAGTGTCTCTGCCTGACCCTCCTCTAACCCGAAGCTAATCCTTGATGATGTGAGGTGCTCTTTGACATAGAGCGCAACCCCCCACCTTTCCTCTGGGATGGGATCATGCTTAGCATTTTCAATGCCAAAAACCTGCCTCCATACCATTTAGACACCTGAAACTATGTATATAGCTAAGGTGACCACATGTTCTGTTTCAGTACAGGCAGTCCGATTTTAAACTTCAGTCCCACATGTCAGTTTGGTCATTTTGAATGCTTTTGTCTCGTTTTCAGAAGCCACACACACAAGCACATACTCTCCATCATGTTGAACTGAAACTGGAGCTTGGGGATAAGTGAGCATACTGGGGAGCCAAGTGTCTTATTTTGAGACTTGGAAAATATGGTCTCTCTATCCTTAGCATAAGGACAGGATACTCACTCTTGCCACCGAAGAAATAAGCTCTACTATCTTACCCTCAACATGCATGTGTCAATTCTAGGATGTCCCCTCCTTGCCTCATTTCTGGGGGCATCCTTGGCACCACAGTGGACCTGGGTTTCCTCTGTGCTCAAATATATATGCTTCTCTTTTTATAAGGTGTTCCTGACAACATTTTGAAAGTGGTCTCAAATAATCATATTACACAAACAACTGAAAGAAAGTATTGCTTACAGCTTAGTAATATTTATTATTACTGTAATATTGTTTACAACTTAGTAATACCATTGCAAAATGACACGTGCCAGAATAAAGCCCGTGTCATGCAATATCTATCTCCATGCCATAGAGAATTATAGGGTTGGAAAAGACGTCTATAATCCAACCCCTACCACCAATGCAAGGTGCGCTACTAGCAAGTCATCCCAGGAGGCTTCCTAGCCCATCTGTGAAGATAACCTCAAAGAAGGAGATTCCACAACTTTCCTGGCCAACCTGTGCCATTGCTCTTACAGTATGGATTTCTGAAGGTGGTATCTTTTATGGGATCAAAGGCATAGTCAGAGAGATTTAGATATGGTGCCCAAAAGTTTGACTAAATCTCTCTAAACTATGAAGCTGGTCCAATAAAAAAAAATATGATCCACAAAACACTCCTACAGATCACATATTTCCTGGATCCTCATGGCTACAACATCTTTCTACCACTTAGGAAGATTTTCTGCAATTTAATCTATATTTACATTTGATTCTAAATCTGTCATTTGAAACATCTTCCTTAGAGACGTATTAGGCCCAAAGCTTTATTCTACAAATTGCCAGTGATCTTGGATGTAGTTAATCCAGGGGTGCCCAAAATGTGGCCTGGGGGCTGGATGCAGCCTGCCAGGCCATTTTATCCTGCCCATGGGGCCCCTAAAAAATTTAGAAAAATTAAAATTTATCTGCCCTGGGCTGCCTGTCATATGGCCCTCGATGGCTTGCCAAAACTCAGTAAGCAGCCTTCTGCCCAAAATAATTGCACGACCCTGAGTTAATGCCATGAAAGGCTCCAAACATGGGATCAAGTCCTCTGCAAGCCAAACTTCAGTAAAGCAAAACACAGACACTGGGTTTAGGCTGGGGTTTTGACTTGCATCAAAACATCTGACCTACATGAAAACAGGCCCGGGCAGTTGTTTACACCGGCAGCATGAATGACAAGGAAATCAAATCAGCCTGCTTCTCCCATGTCCAAGTACCTGTGAAGTATGCAAATCAGCACCTCGCCCCAGGCCAGTGGGCTTGCCCTTCTGTAGGATATCAGGAGAAGAGGTGTCGTCCCAGGAGAAATCCCACCTGTTTTCAGAGTTACGGGAGCCGAGGACTTCGGGTCAGGCCTCCTGACTGTTTTTTCACAGCTACTTCCACAGGTCGTCCTGATCCACCGTTGGAGTTAGCACACCCGGCGTGTTGGGTTTGATCCCATGCCTGAAACAGACACAACCCACTTCCCAAGTCAAAGCCTGTTACAAAGCTGAGACCCTGGGGAAGTGGCAGCCCGTGGGCCCATGCCAAGCACCCACCCCGTCCCCCAGCCTCCCCCCAATCCCAGCACAAGCGGGGCTCGCTGCAATGACCGGCCACCTGTAGACGCC